ATACCCCATTAACAAAGTAAATATTACATAGGAAAAATAAATATATAATAAGTGTGTTATAAAAACAAGACATGGTTACACAATAGGAAAGTAAATTAAACACGTCATGCGACAAACAGTTAGGATATAGTGACGATCGCTACAACTAACTGGTAAGTGAAGACAAGCATATTGCCAATATATCTCACAATCTATCATGCATGGCTCTATTTATTTTACTATTTCACTAATAAAGCACATCAATTCGGTTGAGTGCAATGCTATTATGATAACTCCAAGATATGATATAGACAGTATGGTGATCTGTTCAGTGTGCATGCATGATGTGAATGTGGCGTGAACTCATAATTGGTGTAACTTATACAATTCATGGATTAAAACTCCCCAATGCTCAATCAATTAAGGTAATCAAATAATACAATACATTATCAAAAAGATCAAATCAAACTAACATGCATGTAAGTAATGGCTTAATTATTATAGTAATACTGCTATTGTTAGCAAGATGTGTGCACTTTAGGAATTGCTTACACATAAAGTACACCAAAAGCTTCCTCATTACCATTGGTCATGTCACATTGAAAATACATACTAGTATACACACATACATTTCTGATAAGTACAATGACAAGTAAGCATAATACATGTAAGTAGACATTTAAAAAATTATTCGTGTTCACTGGTGCCTGCACTCACTATTACAGTATAGACCTAGTACATATCAGCCACACCCCATCTTGAACTTTTTAAGAATATCTTTTCATTGTTGACGTATAAACTATACTTATGAATACAAAACAACTGGCAACTATTAACTGTTTGGCATATACAAATACTGCAGACATTTCTACAAATACGTTTATAATGTTGGTAGACTATAGACTATTATAGTCTGCTATATCTACTGAAAGTTAGCATATGTGCTGTGCAGTTTGAAGAACATATCAATCACATTATATATGGAGGTATACTGCTCCTGTAAAGAAACAATATTATTAATACACAATGATATGTAGTATAGCTATACCAGTGTAGTGACAGCTCCTGGTTTACTCCTTCTTATAGCTTTAGTCACTTGAAACACATCCACTACACCTTCTGCTTTACACTGTTCTAGAGCAATACTCACTGAGCAATAGACTCCTGAACGACTCACTGTATCACTATACACAAACACACACACACAAACAATAAATGATCATGAGTCTATCAGTACAATTCCCTCTCTTACCTACAGTGTACCACTACTGGTCCTCCTCCAATCTTTTGTTGTCTGTGTAT